GAAGATGAGCGAAACGAATCAGGGTATAAGGCCCCTGAATCAGCCCTTCCCCCCTTCCCCCTGTCCCTCTGTTTCTTTTCGTTCATCTTCTTCATTCTATGTCGTCGGAATGAAGAAGATGAGCGAAATGAATCAGGGTATAAGGGCCCCAAGGGCTCCAGAATCAGCCCTTCCCCTTTTCCCCCCGTACCCCTGTTCTTTTCGTTCATCTTCTTCATTCTACATCTGAGAATGAAGAAGATGAGTGAAATGAATCAAGGTATACTAGAGGCTTCAATAAATAGGATGATGAAGATGAGCGCTATGAAATAGGGGTGTAGGGGAATTTTGGGTCTTGGTTATACTAACATACTTGTGGTAACCCTTGGTTTCATAATGAATATTGTTTTATTCTTATATTTTCCTTCTTATTCATTGTGAAAATAGCTTAACTCATTCCGGGGATAAAATGATGATGAAAATGAAAATGAATCCCGATCTTGTAATCGTTCATCCTCCATTAGTACTTCCTCATTCGTTTGCATGCTTTCAAAAACGGATTATCTGCCTTGCTTCAGTAACTAACTCAACCCACCGTTGGTACGTGATCCACATGCTTGTAGCCACCTTAAGTAGCCTTTGGCCGAGTCAATTTCCCGTCTATTTGCAACGTTTGAGTCTTTGCCAGTCGCACGTCAAATATAAATGCATTGTTTAAAATGGCGCTTTGCGTCATGTTGCGAAATTTGGCTCGCTGGTCGTAAGATAGCATGTGATGAGGTTATGAGATGTTCGGAGAGCGACGGTCAACGAACTTAACCTTTGACTAGGTTCTAAACTTCAATGCTACGTTGAAGGCAAATCTAAATAAGACGCATACATGGCGCAAAGTCGATTACAATTGTTGATATTTAAGAGCTCCTTTGGAAACCGACACCTCCCCGATCCATCTCTCCGTTGCACCTTCAACTTTAGTCTAGCTTCCGCGGAACCTCTGCGTGGCCCCAGTCTGAGTCGGAGATTTCAGTGGAGAGCGTTGTTGAGCTGCCGGGGCGCTAGATTTGTTTAGTGGTCATTTGATGATTGGGTCCTTTTGTATTGCACTCAGGCTCCATCCCTTATATATTGACAGCAGCCATGGGTCCTCAAAGAACACAAAAACTGCCTCATGCATGCACAAGCGGCTTCCTTCGCGCCTTTCGCGTCCCCTATGATGGTTCACAGTAGTGGAGGCTACTCGGCTTGATAGCTTATATTACTGGCACGCACTAGACCCACTGGGTCTACAGATCACAGTCACACTCGGTCCTAGTTTTCAATACCCTTTTCTACGGCTCGCAAATTCTCTCAGCTGCCTATTCCTCCGAAACCGCCTGACACTACGCACGCCGGCTCTCGGTCCAAACCTCAGAACTCAGGTGGAACCCTCATCATAGAGAGTAATTCGGCTGGAGCTACTTTTACCAAATTGTATTTTAAGATTGACGGGTTCCCACTCAGACGAAGTATTGTAAGTTTCTAACTTGTCACTTCCTTCCCGCTTTCGGCGTTACCCACTTGCCTCCATTTCGCTATTCCTACCCTTCTGGTAGCACTTTGCGGTGCTTCTTTTTCCTATCCACCTCGCTTTCAACAATGAAATACAGGTGTCGATCTGTGTTATGTACTAGCATACCTGCATGATCGTGTCAATGATCAAGACCCGAGGGCGCGGATAGAGGACGACAGCGCTATTTCTGGTGTCTTTTCTGAACCCTACATGCACTTCGAACTCGGAAGAACGCATGCACTGAGAGCACATTATCATGGAACATGTACAAAGTCACATGAATTCGGCTACATGCTAGGTAGTTCAAGAATATCTTTTCCAAAGCTTGAGGTATGTCTTTTGCTCAAGTTCACATTCGACAAACATTCAACGCTTGCGAGCATGAACATGTGCACATATGGATTGAGTCCTTGTTGAATAAAACAGGACAAACACACGACTTGCTTCAACAATTGGATTTACTCGTGAGACTTGCAGCTTCAAGTTCCAATGATCTTTAGATAACAAACAACATGATCTAGTAGGGACGAGACCGTGAATCTCGTCTGTCCCCTCCACGATCTGCTCCATACCCTCCTCCTCCGCCATAGCCTCCGCCATAGCCGCCACCATAACCGCCCCCACCCCGACCACCTCCTCCAAATCGACCACCTCTGCAGAATACAATCGCGCCACACACATGTTGCAGTTGCAAATGGATAAGTTTTTAGAGAAGACAGAGAAACTGGAAGTAAGAAGACGTTGTGCGCACACTATTGTAAGATAGCTCCAACACACATGCCAGTGGGTTGCTTATGCAGCTTCTCTTGAACAAGTTGATAATCGTAAGTCAGTTCGATGGCCCTACCCTCGGCCCCCGCGGCCCCCATATGCAGATGGTGGCTTCGGTGCTGACTTTTGCGCCATGGTGACGGTGAGCTTGGACCCACGCAAAGAGTGCCCTGCCATGCCGCAGCAGAACATGAATCAGCTGCATTGAAGCTGCATGCGCACCAGAACAAGTGACAACCGGCAGGCTTTCTCTTGCCTCCGGCAGCTGCGAAGCCACCAGAGCAGCGGCAAGGAGGAGCACCGAGGGGGCCAGTCCGCAGCAACCAGGCCAGGCAAGGCCGGGACAGCTCCATAGCACGTGCACCCAGGTATACGGTTGCCAGGAGCGCCTGCGGAGCCTCAGCTGAGGGCCATCCTAGCCAGGGCCCTGAGAGCGGCACTCCCTAACTTGAAAAACCTCGCCCACAGCAAACATTCTACAGCAGGGGAGGGGCCAGGGAGGGTCTGGGCATTCACCGTTAAAGAAGCCCCCTGCTGAGTGCGCGGCCGCAGGATCCTCGTAAGTGAGCACGCCATCACCCTTCTGCTTGCCTGCGTCGTCAGTGTAGATCTTGATGTTCCACGGCCACTGGTCCTTGTAACCGCGCTTCTGCCGAATGCGTCCAATCTGCACACCAGCTTGCCCATTGCGTCAGCCGTGCATTGGCACCAGGCGGGGCCCATCCTCTTGCAGCAAATGCAGCTGGGAGTAGCGTGCGCTTCAGTGGTTCACTGCAGCATAGTCACGAAAATGGCCCCCCGCAGCAATCAGTGCTCTGAGGCTGCCCCTGGGGCCCCCATTGATGCACAACCAATCGGCCCCTCTCGGGCCTGTGCTTCCTGGAAGTCCTTTGCAGCAAGAAGTTCGGGCACACACCTGGCCGATTCCGCTAAAAAGCTCCCGAATCTCGTCTTCTGTGGTGTTGTCTGGAAGGCCAGAGATGTAGATGCGCGCGTTGTCGCAGCTGTCGCCACACTTGTCATCGCACTGCTTCACCGCCGGCCCCGAGTCGTCCCCCCCGTCCCCGCCCCCATGGCTGCCCCCTCCCCCAAAGCCACCTGACCCCCGGCTGTCTCGCCCGCCGTAGCCCCCGCCCCCCTCTCTACTCTCCGGTGGCCGGCTCCAGTCGCCTCCCCCGGAGCGGAAGCCGCCCCCTCCCCGGTCGTTGTAGCCACTCTCGCGGGCCCCCGCATAGCCTCCCCCTCCCTCATAGCCCCCAGTAGCAGGCGCTGCTCCGCCAGCGGGCCTGGGAGTGCCGCAGCGGTTGCACTCTGTGCGCTTGGCAAAGTTGTTGTTGCCACAACTGCACAGCAGCGCATGTTAGCCGGAGGTGCAGCGCGGCCCAAGGAGCACAGCCTCGGCCTAGAGCAGCCTTAGGACTCTATGCGTGCTGACCTAGCGGGCCTGCTAACACATCCAGGAAAAAGTGGCGCCACCGCAGCACCCCGCAGACAGAGGAGAGGCTGGACGCCAAGTTGGTGAACTTGCAAAAAGCTGCGAAAGTGCACCCACAGGTTGCAGGCCTGTGCCCTTCATTATTAATTTCTCAGCACGGCAAACCATCACCTTCCTGCAGCTAAATTATGCTCTGCCCTTTCTGCGCCTGCCTGACCATCCGGTATCAGCCCCATGAGCGAGGCACCATTACCGCAGGGGCCAGCCCTGCTTGCTGTATGGACCAGTGTGATGGAGCACGAAGAAAGTACCTGGGGTTAGGGCAGATCCAGTCCCCATCACGCCCCTCGCTGCGCCCGCCGCCGCCGCCGCGAAAGCCTCCCCCACCTGCAGTAAGCACAGTTTCAAATGCTGTGGCCCATTGAGGAGCAATGAATTGTGCGAAACCAGCCACCAAGAAAGCCAGCGGCACAAGCGCAGCAGTGTTTCATCTCCCTGCACAGATTCAAAAACATCTTCAAGGTGTGCAGCTGCGCAGCCAAGCTCCATCCGCTGCCCTTTGAGGAAGGAGGAGCTGGAAGGGCCCCGGAGCAGAGGATCTGTCCATCTGCTGCTGCAGAAAGCGCACATGTGGCCTCGTCGACAAGATCATGAGGGAGAGCCTCACCGCGAGCACCGCCAAAACCGCCGCCTCCCCCGCCATACCCTGCGTCCCGGCCCCCGTACCCACCACCGCCATCCCCATCATAAGCAGCCCCGTATCCGGCCATGGTGCCAGATATTATACAAAGGGAGTTCTTCAATCAGCTTGTGAATCCACTGCCAATGCCATTCAAGTTAGGCATTGGCATCCTGCGTTTGATACGTGCTCAATCAATCGCGCTGCCGCGCGGGCGCTTCCCCATGTGCTGTGCATGCTCCATGGGCCTGATCATAGCTACAATAGCCTGTAGGGTCAAGCAAGCCTGGTGTGAAACATTCTGCTTGAAATAACTAGGTAGCAGAAGCTCCTAGTACTACCGTAGCTACCCGGAGCTTCCTGATTCCTGGGCCACTCTTGCGGACAGGTTCACATGTTTCCGTTTCTTGGGTTTCAGAAGTTAACCCGTCCCAGCCACGGAACCCTTCCCCCCTATCTGAATCACGATCGCTTGATAGTACCTAGATACACGAGCACGCGTTGCTCCTCTGATCAAAGATCTGGCTCACGCAGCTGATCAGTGACAATGGCGCTCCCTGCGCAAATTGCGATGACATCCTGTCCCTGCTACGCAGCACTGTCAATTGCTTGCAAGAAGATAATGTAGCAGGGGAATGCAATTCTTGTGGGATCACGCAGAGCAAGTGGTGCAACAGGTGATGCGCGGACCCGGTGCACCGGAGACATTGAGGAGGCGCAGCTAATGAATCGTTCGACTGGGAGTTTCAACCGTAGCATTGGCTGACCTTTCGTGAACGTTCGAATATTTGAGGCATGTTTGGGCCAGCTTTCACAGTAGCAGACGCAAGCATTGCTTTGGAGGCAAGTGGATCCGTCTGTTAGTGAAGCTCCACAATTGGGGAAGGTGAGCGTTGCTTGCTGACACGTGTGTGCCTGTCGGCCAATGTTGTTTCTGCTTCTTTGCAGTCCATGGCCCAAGGATGCTGATGCTTAAGCCCAACCCTCTGTTGCTTCTGATGGGCGGAAAGTGCTTCTGATGGATGGGAAATGCATCAAACTGTTTCCTGCTATCAGGAAATAGATCGTTTCAACTTGACATGGTGTACTTGATGTCAAAATTAAGAATTTTGCTCAGGCGAGCTAAGGGGGAATGGGAGCCGTTAAAGTATGGTTCCTGAAGTGGCCCCACGCTGCTGCGACAGTGTTGATCTACTCTTGGCTGGCGTCGGGTGCCGCAAGCCGTCAGCACTCTGTCTTGTGAGGGTGTGCGCCACCACAAGCTTGTCCCCCCCCATGACGTGCATCTGCAGTGTTCCTGCAAGAAGGTCAGGCTCTGGCGCGGCCCATCAGGGTCAGCCTGAGGTGCTGCAAAGTTCCAAGCACAATCCTTCTTTGCAGTGATGAAGATGCGATCGCGATCCGGGTTGCTTGCCTCAGCAGGGACGCCGTGATTGGGGGCATCGTTTGGGTGCAAGGTAAGCCTGCATTCTAGCTTGCATAGCTGGCTGGAGGCGGCAGAATGACATTCACTGCAACGTAGGGTGATGAACGCTGGATTGCTGCACATGTAGTTACCGGGGACCTTGGTCAAGGAGTTGCCACTCTTGCTGATGGGCCTGCGCTCCTGCTGGTGCCGTAGCTGGACATGCCTGCCCTCCCTGCTACGCCTGCACCTGAGGTGTTCGTGGAGGTCTCGGTTGGGCCACCAGGATCATGAAGTGACACACACATACCTTGGATTGAGATTTTGGCTGGCATCAGCACTCAGTTGACGGTCTGGAGTAGATAACACTCAAGACGACAAGACTGGCAACCTCAAGAGGGGCAAACCTTTGTGCCTAAGTGAACAATAGAGGAGCCTGTCATCAACGCTCTTTTAAGACAAGTACACTAACTTCACTTCCCTCCAACGGGCGCCGAGGCCATGTTAAGCAAGATCAAGCCATGCCAAAGTCGAAAGTTAAGAAGCGCCTAGACTAAGATAGATCCATCTTCAGGCTGCATTGGACTTTTGAGAAGCTGGAGGGCAGCACCCCTTCAACCACCGGCAGTCGAACAACATGGATCCCTCAGCGATGCCGCTGACTGCCCCCAGCAAGGCGTCTAGTCTGCCTTCTCCACATAGCGCAGAAGACCAGAACGGGAATCAGTCCTCAGGTAAGGACGAAGGCAGGGAGCGCGCGTTGGCGGGAAGTCATGAATGTTCCCCCGTCTTTCTCGTAATCTGCTGTTGAACGCTGGCGCTGTTGCCCCGAGTAGGGTGCCCACCCATCGTTGTGTTGGGAGACCCATGCCCGCTGTCCTGCTGTGCAGGGTCGGCAGAGCCTACTCCCCTCCCCGCCATCACACCGTCCCCGAAGCCCGGCCACGAGGTAGGGCTCCCATCCTGGAGCTTCTTGCCAGCTTGCAAGAGCACGTACAGGTTCGCAAGGTGCGCTAGGGAGCATCGTAATAACAGTGGGCTGAAGTCGCTTCGATGATTCTGCCATCGAACTCATCATAGTCAGGTCAAACAATGTCAGAGAAGTTTGATGCTGGATCAGCCCAGTGCCCCTTATAGGCAATCCCAGTCCAACACGATCTTATGCGACCGACGGTGTTCCAGAGCAGGCATGCAAGATGTGACGCTTCTCTCCTCCTTCCGGCAGGCTGTGCGGAGGGCGAACAAGCGGTCGCTGGCGGACACGGTGAAGATGCGCACACGGGGGGCCCTCGCAGAGGACACGGCCACGGCAGAGGTGAGGGCCGCCGCAGCGTAGGGAGGAGGCGCACTAGAGCAGGCTGCCGCACCCATGCTTGCCCTGGTGCCAGTGACCCCCTGGGGATGCCTGCCGCTGGTGCAAACACTGAGATTATGCAAGTTGAGAGTTTTAATGTGCCGAGCACCAGCACGGTGCATTCTTATAGCCCACTTGTGATTAGACCAAGGTAGGCAGGCAGAACTGCTGCACAGGAACTGCTGCTGCTGTGGTTGCTTTGTGATCCCCACTTGTGATCACCAGCGGGGCTGCCCGCCACCTCCGTGGCGCTGTTGACACTCCTGTCCTGGACTCTGGCAGGCGTCCCAGCTGGAGGGTGTGGCCAAGAAGAGGGCCAAGGCTGCCAAGGTGGAAACAGGCGGCGGGCCGGCAGCCTCCCCAAGGGCCCCACCCCCGACCCACTCACAGGATGCTGGGGAGCCAAACATACTGACTGGGAGAGGGGGCCAAGATGAGACAAGGTTTGAGGACTTTGGCAGCAGCCCCGGCGCGGCGCTGGATGGGCTGGGGTGCGGCGCGCAGGCGGAGGCACGACAGGCGGTAGGGGATGCTGGCGCCACCCAGGCCCATGCTGGGCAGGCTGCAGGCAGGAAAGGGGGGGGGAAGAGCGAGAGAAAAGTGGCCCCGTCACCTGCGGCGAAAGTGGGGGGGGACATACACTGCCACTACTGCGGGTATGTCACTGCTTCTAGGCGGTGTGGCAGGCTTGCCTTTGCACTGCGTACTGGAGGTATTTCCATGCTCAGCCTGTGTCTTGCTGGTTCTTGATTGCGGTGTTGCTCATGCAGCAGGGCGACTCTTGTCGAGTTTCCGCCAGCACACTTGTCAGGAAGGTCAGGCTCATGGCGTGATTGGTACACCTACTACTGCTGATGGCGGTATGTCTGGTGCACCGTGTGCAGCACCCGCGAGAGCACGTACTGGCGGCGCGGCCCGGACGGCCCCAAGACGCTGTGCAACAGCTGCGGCCTCAACTGGTTCCGGCAGCGGCCCATGCAGCGCGAGCAGGTGGAGGTGGGCAATCTGATGGCGGCCGCGGTGGCGGCCGCGGCACTCAAGCGGCCGGCCAACAGCCTCAAGGACGGCCCCGAGAAGCGCAAGCGCGAGGAGAAGAAGGACGGGAAGCAGCTCCTTGAGCAGCTGCATGGCACCAAGGGCGCGCACGCACAGCAGCAGCCGGGGGCCAAGAGGCGGAAAGGGGACGGCGGCGCCGGGGCGGGCAAGCCGGAGAGGGCAGGCGGGCAAGCGGTGGCCTCCAGTCTGAAGGGCTTGCAGCGCACGGAGAAGGGGAGCATCCGGCGCAAGCTGGGCGATGCGGCGGTGAAGAAGGCGGCACTGATCAAGCGCACCCCGAGCCAGCTGTCGCTCGTGGGCCTGCTGGAGAGCGCGGCTGCGGCGCCCCCAGCCCCGCCGGAGCTCCCGCCAGCTGCGGCGGTGAAGCCGACGGGGGTGCTCAAGGGGGCACGCTTCTCACCCCTGAAGCAGGCGCAGACACGGCTGGGGGCACAGAAGCTGCTGGCGGTGCTCAACGTGATCAAACAGAAGAAAGGGCTCGGGCGCGTCACCAGCACTGCGTCGCTCGAGTCGGTACCGGAGGAAGACCCGCTGGCTGCACAGCCAGACGGGATCCCGGGCATCTCTGGAAGTGGCGTCCCTGGTGGCACGGAAGTGCTGGCGTCGAGCCAGGACGCTCTGCGCGGTGGGTGGGAGCCGGGCCCGACGGGCGCGTCCACCCGGCGGCCCACCAAGACGGGGGCTCGCTCCCAGCGGCGGCCCAACACCGCCCTGCTGCAGGGCGCCAGTTTCCTGCCGTGGAAAGCCCGGCCGCGCGGCTGGGAGAGCTCCAGCCTCACCTTTGCTGCGGCTGAGAGCCGGTTGCTCAAGCCGCAAGCGGCCGCCCCGGCAGCGCACGGCCGCTCTCCTTTGCAGACGCGAGCAGAGGCCGGGCCCATAGGAGCGGGCCCCGAGCAGGAGGGCGTGGGAGGGGGGAACAGAGGGGCGGCCCCTGACCCGCAGCAGAGAGCGCGGCTGCGGGAGGGTGGCAGCCACGAGGCGGCGGCTGGCGGGGCGGAGGCAGGCGAGGGCGGCTCGGACGACGATGGGTTTGCGGGGTATGGGGTGCTGCGGAAACTGCTGGAGGAGGTGGACGCGCCGCCCACGTCGCCCCCGGCAAAAGGGCGGCCCCCGCTGAACAAGAAAGGAGGAGCGCCGCTCGCCAAGAAGCTGCAGCGGTCGGAGCAGCCTCTAGGGTCGCAAGGGCCGTCTGCGCGGGCCGGGCTGAACAGCTATGAGAGCTTCGAGGACCTGGTGATGGGGACCGCGGGGGGCATGAAGCGGTTTGAGAGCTTCGAGGACCTGGCCCTGCGCGTGGGGCCCGTGTTCGCCCGAGTGGAGAGCTTCGAGGAGCTGGCGCTGCGCGCCGGCCCCGCCATGCGCCGCTTTGAGAGCTTCGAGGACCTGGCCATGCGCAGCCAGCCCGTGGTGGAACCGCCCCCACACCCCGCTCCGAGCGCGCTCCCGGCAGCGCACGTGGCAGGACGAGGCGAGGGGGAGTCGAGCGCAGAGGCGGGGTCGGAAGGGGAGGCGGGGTCGCGGGATGGCGCAGGGCGGCGCAGCGGGCGGGAGAAGAAGCAGAAGACGTGGGAGTGGGCCGTGGTGGACGGGCCGAAGCGGAGGCGGAAGGACGCCCGCGACGACAAGGGCCTGCCGCGGGAGGGGCCGGATGGGCCGGCGCCCTGGCGAAGCGGCACAGCGCAGGGGCAGCGGAAAGGGGAACCCGGCCAGGCGCTGCAGCCACCTCGGGGCAGCCAGGGCCGGGGGAGAGGGGGCGCACAGCAGTTCCCCGGGATGCTCGGGCCGGGGGAGTCTCCGACGGCCGGAAGCTTGGAGTCTGCGCAGCGAGGGGAGGGGACGGAAGAGCCGGTGTTGCCCAACGACGCGAGCGGCTCAGCGGAGGGGCGGCTGCTGGCAGCCCCCGGGCAGGCCGGCGGGCTCCCTCAGCACTCCGCAGGAGCAGCAGCAGCGGGGCAGCCAGGCGCGGCGCTACTCCCGAACGGGCTGCGGTATGCGTTGCGTGTGCCGGCAGCGGCGCAGCCATCCGGCAGCGCAGGGCCAACGGCGTCGTTGGCGCGCAACGTCCTGGGGTTGGGGCCGCGCGGGGTGTCGGCCCGCGCGCTGCACCTGCTGGTCGACTGCGCGGTGGAGCCGGAGCCGGCCGCCGACGTGGCCACGCTCATGGCCGACCTGCAGACGCTGGCCATCGGGACCGCAGACAAGCGGGGGGGGAGCGACGGAGGACAGGAACAGGGGCGGGCGGCAGACGGGGCAGCGGGGGGGATGAAAGCGGGCTTTGCGGCCAGCTTCACGCTCCCAAACGGGCGGGCCGTGAAGCAGGTCGCGCCTGTGGCGCATGCAGTACGACTGCCCGCCGGAGCGGAGGTGGCCAGTGACGGGGCAGCAGAAGGGCGCGGGGGGGGTGTAATTGTCGAATTGGGAGCCCCTGAGGCAGGTGAGCATGAGCGAGGGGCAGGCGGGACGGCACTCCCGAGTTGCAACAGAAGGTGGGGGCCGAGAGAAGTTGGGCTTGCAACCCTCCGCTCGCCATTGTAGCGAAGTTCGTGCATCGTTCTGTAAGCATCAACACATGTTTTTTTACTGAAGTGCGTTGCTAAAGTCCGAACGCTTTCTTTAATGGCGTTGCAGGGCCACCAGCAGCTGAGCAAGAGGACGGAGCTGTTGGCCCCTCGAAAGCCACTTCCGTAACGCCTAGAGGAGCTCCAGCGGCAGTCGACAAAGATGCCCGCGCTGCTCAGCTGCTCCAGGTAGGGCTGCTCCTCCCATCTCGTCCAGCCAGCAGGGCAGGCTTGCACTTTGGCTTGCCAGCAGGTTCGGTAAAAGGTGTTTCGTGGAGGAAGCCACTGCCACGGACTGGATTTCTACAACCTCTGCAAAGAGCTACCCCGTCAGTCCTAGACGGGACTGCCGGCGGAAAGGTCCCCCTGAGTATTCTTGCGGTATCTTATCTGCGAATGTGGCTCCAACCCCACTTGTGCGCTCCCGTCGCTGTAGGTGCCGGCTGGAGAGCCGGAGCTTCACTGTGCGGAGGTGCTGCAATCCCCTGAGGACTTACCCTGCTAAAACATTTACCGCGGCGGGCAACAACGCGCGAGCTGCGCGCGTGCATCAATGATTAAGGTAATTGCATACAAATCTTTCAATACGGAGGCATATATAGCGTCCGCTAAATTGATAAGTTAACCTCCAGGAACGTCAAGACTTTTTATTACATAATCTTAGAACCAAACGGAACTTGATCAAAGCATAATCAGAGCCATGTGTGGCTCTCGTGCAGCGTCTAATATTCAAGATTATGCGACGACATCAAGGGACCATATCGATCTGATGTACTGTGCGCAATGGTGCAAACGGCCTAACCACCCTGCGGTTGGGAGGCTGCCTTTCCAAAACTCGAACGTGCGGAAAGGGACGGACTGCAATTGACAGCAAGCCGATGATTCCCGACCATGGGGGAATATTGATGCTTTCAGACGGACAGCTCCAGAGGGTAGCTCAAATGCTTTCAATTTGTGGCCGATACTTGTCGACCGGAAGATCGAAAGGGGTTGCATGGACTATCATTCATCCCCCAAAACACGGATGACTCATGCGAGGCAAGAAAGTAGACCTGGGGTGTTGCCCCCCCCCAACGAGGGGCCGATTTTTGGAGTTCCGGACGCCCTTGCACGTGTGTTCTAATATGATGCCCTGTGGAAGTCACAAATCTGTCGGCAGAATTTCTAGCCATCATGGACCCATATGGCGACCGTTTTGGGCTCGTCCCTCGTATAATCAATCCATTTCAACGAGTTTCTACTTCACCAAACATGTGCGGATTTGTTTGGAGCAAGGCGGCCGTATACGTACGGTTTAGGTCAAACAACCGACGCATCAGGTTGACAACGGTGCATCCCCGAAAAGATCCTAGCTTCGATCTCCGGTCACTTGCATGCCAGGCAATTTCATGCATGCCAGCATGCAACTTGAAATATGCGAAGTTTGAATATTGACACCTTATGTTGAATGCCCGATCCAATCTTCGATATATATCATATCAGACGCGCACTACTGTGTAGATTTACATGTTTGTTGCATGAGAACCTCACACGTACTGCAGAGGTTCCTTCAATAACTCCAGTATTTGGGACCATGCGGCACATGTGCGAATTCTACCGTAGTCCAACGTGATGATTCCGAATAAATAAATATCTGCGTTCGGAAAGTCAGAAACTCCGATTTTCCATTCGGAAAGTGAAAATTCGGAAACGTAAAATAACTCTGAAATGGTCCTCGGAAGCCGTAAAACTGCCAAAAGCAGCTTAAAATTCCCCTTTTGAGTGAGACCATAGGGCATTCGGATTTTGGTCGGAATGAGCATAAATAATTCTACTTTCCTGGTCGGATTGTTGGAAAATAATTCGAAATAAAATCGTTCGGAATCATCACGTTGGACTACGGTACTTAAATGATCGATAGCCTCTCACATGGTTACACTACAGGGTACGTCCTTGGTAATAAATCAATCTCGCTTCATGATGCAATCAACTCAAACTACATTTGCCAACTGGCATGTCCTATAGCGCGAGCCTTATTATCGGACATGCATACATGTTATAGTACAACTCAACAAGCATGGGGCCGGGCAAGCATGATTCAACTTCGATTATTATTGAGTCAGATGGGCAAGCTCATGAAATGCAGCTATTTCCCAAAACATATCAAGTCACGTGCAAACGATCGCATTTGTCACGTTATAAAAGCTGCAATGAGATGCATGCTCGGGCCCCTTAAACCTCGTATCCGGCCAAGGTGTGCGCGGCCAGAATTTGCAATCCATTAGGTGCGATCGCCTTATATTACGGATTCCATCAATAGTATTACAGGCAATTTAGTTGGAGCGTGAGATTAACCGGGGCCCAAGATATGCAGCCGGGCAATGTACGCACGTGTGCCTTAACACCGGCTTTGAGGCCAGATGCATGCCAGCTTTATTGTGCAATTGGCAAGACGTAGAAAGTGGCCATGGCTGTGTACGGTAACGGAGGTTAGCCATGGCAAGCTCATTGACACGTACCTGTCGGGCAGAATGACCATCATGCACGCTTTTACACAGCTTTCATGCATTTAGAAGCTCAACAAGCCTCCGATTAATCATCAACGAAACTGCAACGAGCATGTCATAGAGCAATGTACATAGGTAAATGCAGCTTGTTGTCCACATATTCTCGACAGGTTAGGTTGCGCGTCGACCAAAAATCTACTTGGCCTCCAGTGTTGCCTTTGTAGTACCGTTAGGTAGGAGGTACGGTACTTGTCGAGCTATATCACTCCTCTGGTATGTACCGTAATTACCACGTGGATCTGAAAAGCCACCCGATTGGCTAAGAAATCTGGAAAGCTTTCTGCAACTTTTCGGTCGACGCGCACCCTTATGCTTACTCTGAAGCCCGCCTCAACATTCATGATATACTTGAACCGCAGACGTCGAAGAAGGACTGTGGCTGCATGATGTTCTGCCACAGAAGTTCTCCCGTGTATCCGCCCCAATCGTATGGCTCTTCCGACTCGGTGGTTGGTGGCTACGGTTGGCCGTTGCTCGCCCTCAGAGTTGCGCGCACATGCGGGCGAGGTCATCCCCGGGCTGCACAGACAGCGATTCACAGCCTTTCGGGTTTAGAAGGCAGCCTTCCCATTGCGGTCGGCAGTCTTCCCATTCGAAGGACGGCCTTCCTAACTCTTCAGCGACCAGCAACGAGACTCAAGTCACGCACTGGCCCGTGCGCTGCCCATGCCGGCGGCACGTGCGCCCACTCGGCCCCTGGCTCGCCCGCAGCGCCTGGCCTGCCGCGCACTCACCTGGAACACCAGCCGCAGCACGGGCCCCAGCGGCGGCCCTACGCGTGCCTGCACACAGCCATCCACACGCGGTCAGCACGCTGCCAGTACGTTGCCCTGCCAGGCCCGGGATGCCGGTGCCCCCTCGAGGTTCCTCCCGTCCCTCTTCCTCAGTGCATCCACTTGGCGGGCCGGTCCCTCAGGGCCAGCCCTGTGGGTGGCGAGTATGCGAGATGCTGGGCCCGGAAGCCCTCGTGTGTGGGAGCAGAGCAGTGGCGCGCACACGGGCGTGCTCACCCGTGCTTCTCCCGCGTGGGCTGCCGTGATGGCTGCCGCAGTCACGCTGGCGGCCAGGCTCGCAAGGTCGGCCGCGTACGCGGGCTCCCCGCAGTAGGCGGCGGCAGGGGCGGGCAGGCCGGGGAGGGGCGCCGGCAGGCGGGGCTGCGCCAGGGCGGCCAGCACGGGGAGCAGCACAGCCGCAGTGGCTACGGGGGAGAAGCTGGGGCGGGGGGGGGCGAGGCGAAGGGGTCAGCGCGGAAGAAACACGAGAAACACGGGCTGCCAGCACAGGAAGTCGGCAGATTGGGACAAGCGCTTGTGATTGACGCTTGCGCATGGAGCTTGATCCCGCTTCTTGAGGTACGCAAAGGGCGAAGGCGCAAGGTCGACCCCAGGCTGCCACTCAAGGAGCGCTGTCAACTGAGGAAGCTCTCTGATGATCGAATCCGTCACTACCGAAAAATGCCTCAGCAGCACAATGGGGCGATGCCTGCGCTCGTTGGAGGGGAGCATCGAAGAGGGCATTGTCCCACGAGGCGGCCACGGACGGGGGTGGCTTACCCTGAGAGGGTCTCCAGCGCAGCGCGCAGGCGGTGCAGCAGAGCCAAGGGACCTGAATCGAGGGACGCTGCATACACGAGACGCGCCGTAAGTGGCCGCGGGAAGGGAGCCGACGCAAGCACTCCAGCATGCCTACGCAGATTGTGCCGATGATCCAGTGCAGCAGGGTTGCCTCACAGCCGGGAGCGCGCATGCGGCAGCTCACCGGGGATGCGCAGCACCAGATTGGCCAGCTTGCGCACAGCCGCCTCCAGGGCCGCGTCAGGAGTTGAACAAGGCGGAGGCGCGGCCGCGGCTGCACGGAGGAGCGAGACACAGGAGTGAGGAAGAGCGCGAGCAGGGAGGCGCCAAGTGGCCCGGCTGCTCCTTGCACTTCCCCCCCACATGCTCTGATGGAGGGCGCTGTTGCGCGAGCTGTGCTGCCAGCGCAAGTCTCACCAGTGGCAGCGTCTTGCCCCCACCGCGCCACCTCGGGCAAGGCATCAATGGCCGCACGCAGAGCCCCTTCCGCGTGGGCGAGCGCGCCCGCAGAGCCCGCCACCTGGCAGCCACGGGCACACACGTCAGGCTGAGCACGCAGGGATGCGTCCCACAACAGCGTCTGCAGCGATGACAAGGGAGCGGAGCAGGCAGGCAGCGTGGGAGAGTAATCGCGTGCTCCGAAGGCAGCGGGTGCGCAGGCGCAGGGGGAGGGCCCACCTCGGCAGTGGCGAGCGCAAGATGCAGGCGCGGCAGCGGGGCGGCCACCGCCGACAGGGTAACCGCGCAGAAGGCGAGGCAGGCGCGCACCAGGTCGCGCGGCGCGCCCGCCCGCTGGGAGGTCACTGCCAGGCGCAGCGCCGTATGCACCAAGGGGCCCTGCAGCAAGCGCAGCACGCAGGGTCACGCGGCGGTGGAGACCATGCGAGCAGGGCGCCAGGCAGCGTAGGCAGCTGTAGGCAGAGAAGGGGGGTGCGGGAGGGGGGGAGCAAATGAGGGCTCGCCTGCACGTCCAGGTTGCAGAAGGCTGCCCGGCAGTCCCCCAGGAACGCAAGCTGCCGCTCCGTGTCATTACGGAAGGCGACCTGCAGTAGCGGGGGAACGAGGCCACGTCAGACCAGCAACGACGGGCATCCCCGCCGGCCCAGCGCTGCCTCGACGGCATGATAGGCCCATCGGAAGCTGGTCGTGCTGCGCTGGCCGGTCTGCGCATGCTCGTGTTACACGGTGGATTGCAGTGTGGTGCCGCAGGGCCGCCTTGGTGCGGGCAGGGCCTTAGGCCGGGGTGCGGGGCAGCAGGGGAGGGCTGCACCTTGGGAATGAGGCGGCAGAGCAGGCGGGCGGGGGCAGCACGCGCAGCAGGCGGGACGGTCGGGTCCACCGCGTCGTGCAGGGCGCGCGCGGCGGCCAGGAGGGGCGGCAGGCACGCAGGGTCCGTCAGGGGGGCGGGCCAGCTAGCAGGGGGCGGGCAGAAAGGGGTCAGAGGGCGAGCCAAGAAGCACGTCCGTAGAAGGTACAGAGCAGAGGAAAAGCAGTGGCAGGCCACAGACTGCGAGAGCAGCCAGGAGAGCAGACCGGCGCCCAAGGAGGAACACGCTTCAATGCGTAGCCCAGGCGGGCAAGGTGGCAGTCGAGGCGGAGCGATGGTGCAGGGCGGGTATGCGTACTTGATGGCCGCCTCCAGGACGCAGCGCGAGGCGGAGAGGCGGCGGTCCCCGTCGAAGGCGGCCAGCACCGCCCCCACCTGGGGCTGCACAGCAGGGCGGGGCAGTGAGGGCGCGCAGGCAGAGGGAAAGGCAGAGACGGTCAGAGCATGCACGCAGGACAGCGCAGCGGGGAGGGGCGACCACCAGGGGCGGGCCAGAGTGGAAACCAGCGGCACTCGCAGCGGTGGAGGCGGGTCGCGCACCAGGGCGAGGAGGTGCGGCAGGGGGGCGGGGCCGGCGAGCAGTGTGTCCAGGAGGTGCTCCAGGGAGGCCAGCGCCGCGGGGGGAGGGGGCGGCCCGCGCAGGTGGCGCGCAATGTCGCGCAAGAGGACCTCCACCTCGGGCAGCTGCAAGCACCACCAAAGAGCCTCAGCGCACTAGGAGGCAGAGGCAGCGGGGAGCGCACAGAGAGGAGGGGGCCAGCCGCAGGCAAGAAAAACCTGCGGTGGGGCGAGGGGGCTCACCCCGAAGTGGCGCAGCACGAAGGGCAGCATGACGTCCGCCACCGCCAAGTAGTCCCCCAGGTCCGAGAAGCGGGCCACCACCTGCAGGGCGGGCGGACTCAGAGCGGGCGCAGGCTGTGCACCTGACTTGAGGACTCAGCATTTGTAACAGGAGCATTCAGCCGTTGGTGGTCCCTGCTGTCCACCGACCCGCTCCCCCTACCTCTCATAGGTGGTGCTCACAGGGAACCCCCTCTGGCGCAGGCCTCCGCGCCCGCTGCCGCAGGTGGGCTGCGTATGTGGTGGCTCACCTTCCAGGTGTCGTTCAGGACGGCCGCCTGCTGGTCGCGGGGAGGCGGGTGCTCCGCCAGCTGGCGGCCCAGCGCACAGAAGAGCGCGGCCTGCAGCAGCAGCGCGGGCAGTCAGGGCCAGGCAGGGCAGGCCGCAGCGCCAGCCGAGCAACACAGGAGGCCCACACGGGCTTCGCCAGGAGCACGACCATCAGCGAGCAGTGGAAGGCTGGTGCACGCAGCAGGCAGTGGGAGGAAAGATGGAGGGGGCAGCGGCGCCGCGGGGGGACCTGCTTGGCGGAGGCGTCGCTGGTGGCGGCAACGAGGCGCGTGAGGGGCAGCGCCTGGGCCGCCACAAAGGGGCCGGGCAGGTGGGCCACCAGATGCAGGACCACAGCGGCAGGGGGGAGCGCAACGGGGGGGCCGCCTTGAGAGGGGGCCAGGCAGGCCAGCGAGGCAAGCAGGCCCGGCAGCTGTGCCTGCAGCAGGACGGAGGGCACGTGAGGGGAGGCGACAGCGGAGTGGGGCCAAAGGGAGGGCGCACTGCAGCAGCTAGCAGCTGTGTCAAGGGAGCCGAGGAGAGGCAGCCGACAGCAGACAGGAGAGGGGTGCAGGGTACCCACGGGGGGCGCGTCCTTGAGCAGTGCCTGGATGGTGATCTCGAGGGGGGGGTCCAGCAGCTGCAGGTACGCGGCACGCGAGAGGGCGCTGCGCTGCAGGGCGGGGTCGTGGTGGCCCGCCAGCACGCTGCGGTACTGCAGCAGGCGGTCACGCAGGCCGGACACCAACGGGGCTGCACGCAGGGGGGGGGGCGTAAGTGGGAAGGAGGTCCAAAAAAATACAGGGAGGTGCCAACACGTGTTGTTTGAGGGGATAGCATTTCACTGTCACCCTGGCAGTACACAGCATCGGAGAAAAAGCAGCTACTGTGCTGCCTGGCCGCGAGCAGCACAATGCCCAGCGGCAACCATCTGCCGATCAACCAGTCGCAATCAAGCCTAGCATGGCGCAAGGGGCTCACCCTTCTCTGTGGGGGCCACCGCGGCAGTCCTCCTGACCAGGTACAGGTGGGCGTACGCGGCCGCGAGGGGGTGGGTGAGGCCGCGCATCATGGCGGACAGGCGCGCGAGGGTCGCCGCGGGGGGGGCTGGCTCCAGGAAGTGGTAGCAGCGCAGCAGCGCCAGCTCCAAGTAGCTGCCCGCCACAGGGCGCACAGCGTGTCAGGCAGAGACAGGGGCAGGGGGGCACACACAACAGAGCGCACTGAGGCACCGCGTGGGGGGGGGGGGGGGGCAATCGAGGCAGCTCATTTGACAGCGCTTGTGTAAAACGCGGTAGGGAAGGGGTTTTGCGGGGCTCACAGGCGGGGCAGCAGCTCGGGGATGGCCCCCACCTTGTGGAACCAGTTGCGGCACGTCTCCTGCGCAGCCGCGGGCACGTCCCGCCACGTGAAGCCAGCTGCCAGCAAGAGGCGCAGTGAGCGTAGTGGGCCGCCAGGGCATGGCCGGGACCCGGACGCAGGCAGGCAGGCGTTGCTGGGGCGCAAGTACAAACACAACAACTGGAGCTCAATTGTGCCTCTGGAACCAAACATGAACAAGGGCATGGGGCCCAAAAAGGAAGCACCAGCGGCAGACCCCAAAAACGTCTGCTGACCCTTCTTGACTCGTATCAGGGGGAGGCCCACCTGGCAGCCGCTTCGGGGGTCCTGTGGGAGTGTCTCCCTCCTCCGCCTTACGCACGATCCGCGTCCACACGAGGCCACCCACCGTGTCGAGGCAGTCGGTGACCAGCACAAAGAGGGTGGGGTAGAAGTGCGGCACACTCACGTCCAGCAGCAGGCGCGCCACCTGCAGCAGGGGCACCACACGATAGAGCGGGCGGCAGCCAGGGCACGCAGGCAGGCAGGCCAGAGGGGCCATGACCAAGACCGGGCAAGGATCGGAATGCACCCAGGAGGGGCCACCAGTGCGATGGCCGATGCAGAACTGCCTTCGCACGTTTCCCCCAGTCCTTGCCCTTACTCAGAGGGGCCTCCCTGGCCCCGTCACTGCCCGCGGTTTGCAGCGCACCTTAATGGCGAGGCGCAGCGCAGTGAGGCGCTCCGCTGCAACCCAAGCGCTGCTCAGGTCGGCGTTGAGCTCGCGCAGGCGTGCCACCACGTCCGCCACCGCCACCTGGCGCGACGCCTCCTGCCCCGCGCGCTGGGGGTGCTCCAGCTGCTCTAGCCGCTGCGCCGCGCTCAGGCGGGCGCGCCCTGCAGCAGTGCCCCACGAGGAGCGAGTCACGGAGCAGCCCGGGGCAACAGCACACGAGGGGGCATAAGGGGCAGCCATTTCACGGCAAAATGGGGGCAGGACAACACGGTCCTAGTCTTCCAGTCTACGCACCAGGGCTGCATGATCGATGTCGCGCTGTGCATCTAACTTGATGACACTGATGCGGGGGGCATCAGAGATGCTGCAAGGGGGAGAAGGGCGCCGGTGCGCTGCTGCCGGCGGAGGGGAGGGAGCGCCCACCTGGCTGCGTGACCACGTCCAGGCTGGCGGTCACCGCTATTGATCCTGAGGCGGTGAAGCGCTGCAGGATGGCCGCCTTCCTGCCCTCCCACTCGGCCGCGGCCGCCCTCTCCTGCTCCTCCCCGCTCCAGCGGCGACCATCGGAGGGCCGGCGCTCGCGGCGCTGCTCCCAGGGGACGGCCACTGCAGGGCCGTGGCGCAGCGGGTCGTCAACTTCCTGAAGGACAAGAAACCAAATGCAATGTGGCTGACACAACAACGACAGTGTCAGCCGATGGCTAGTGAATGTTCAAACTCAGATTAGCCCCAGCAATGCTACTACTCTCTACATGGCGCTCAGAGAATTGCCAACCCACTAGCCATGAACCTAGCTGCCATGCAAAAGCGAATCCTGGACCACACAACCAGTGGCGCAGTGCATTCTCCGCTGGACCCAGGAACATGGCCCGCCCAGTGCCTAAGGATAGCCGCTTACAGCATTGAGATCGAGGGGCAGGCCTGCCTCAACAGGGCCTGCAGTGGCGCAGGCTTTGGCCGGGCCGTCCTCCTGGCGCGGGGCAGCGCGCGGCAGCAAAGGGTGGTGGAAGCAGGGCTCCCTTTGCAACAGCAGCCGGCTCTCATCCAGCTCGTAGTTGCGCATGCGCAAGGACATGGCGGGCAGCCGCTCTCCACCTCAGGCGGAGCCAGGCCAGCAGTCTAGATGTGAGCCAGGGGAGACGACCCAAATGCACAGCGAGGCGGACCCAAGATTGATTGGTACGTGGTGCGTACGGAGATTGACATGGCGGCTGCTCAGTGCTCTGCCTTCACGTGCCCCAGGGCCATTGCCATTGCCATTGGCAGCAATGCAATGGCTACTAGTACCAGCTGGGTATGTCTTTGCAGCCAGCATGACATTGATCGAGGATTGTAGGGTGCCATCACCATGTGATTCACATGCACTCATGCAGCTACCGTAGCTCGTCAACCCCACGGCGAATTGAAATTCGTCAAAATCCAGGATATTCACATTGTTGGTATAGGAAGATATCACCTGCTTTTTAGATTCGTCGCCTCCTCTTGAGGCTCGCATCCACCTCAAATGAGCACTGTACAAGTCAGACGTTCTTCGACGCTTTGTTGGTCTCGAATAGCTCAACGACTTATCTTGCCAGGTTATGCAATTCCTTGGCTAATATAATAACATTGCAAAGATCGAGCCTGTGCCTCTCGCGAATCGCCCATCCCCTTGGTGGCTGGTCTTCTGGTCCTCTTTCCCAGCGGACTCCGCGCGAGGCATCGTTGTGGGCGCCGTGTGACCATGGGGCGCGTCATCCGCTCCCAGCGTAAGGGTGCGGGCTCCATCTTCCGCTCGCATACGCACCGCCGCAAGGGGCCTGCCCAGTTCCGGTCCATTGACTACTCGGAGAGGAATGGCTACATCAAGGGAGTCATTGGCGAGATTGTGCACGACAGTGGGCGGGGGGCCCCCCTGGCGCGGGTGACCTTCCGGCACCCGTTCCGGTTCAAGCACCAGAAGGAGCTGTTCATTGCGGCGGAGGGCATGTACACGGGCCAGTTTGTGTACTGCGGCAAGAAGGCCACGCTGTCCATTGGCAACGTGCTGCCGCTGCGCAACATGCCCGAGGGGACCATCTGCAGCAACGTGGAGCAGCGGGTCGGGGACAGGGGCGCTTTTGCGCGCGCCTCAGGGGACTACGCCATTGTGGTCAGCCACAACCCGGACGCCGGCACAACCAGGTGAGCAACCGAGGCTGCTGCACAGCAGGGACATGGACAACCAGAATGCACACAATCCAGGTTGTGTCAGTCTATTTATTATGGTAATGGTCGCCGCCAGGTTTACATGATTTGGCCACAGATGGCACTGCAGGCTGTGGACGTTATGTCGGTAACGGCTGACCCAGAAACTCGTAGCATGCTGTCATGTCAGGGACATCTCCCCAGTCCAGCGGAAGGTGGTAACGGTTGACCTCTTGTCAAGTGTCCTTTTGGCCAATATAGCAGTTGGTTGTTCCTTGCTCAGCAAGCCTAGCTGGTGGCGAGGGGCAAAGCCGTTCAGCTGATTCAGGGGCAGAGAGTGTCTGTGCTGGCTTGGGTCGCAGCGATTACTCCAGCTGTTGGACTCATTTGGGCTCAGCTTTGATGGCTGCTGGTTGATTCTTTCTTTCTCTGCTGTTTTGTTTGGTCAAAGCTTGGTCAGACCGCTCCGCTTGTTGTTTATCGATTGCGTCACCCACTTTCGCCAGTTGCAAGTCGAGGAGAGCTGAGGCAGTTAAGGCCAGGTGTTCTGCATATTTCGTGTTGGACAAAAGGCAGGGGAACATGGTTGTTGGAGATTTTTTCCCTAGTACATTCTGTGCAAGAGGAATTCGTATCTTGAGGACATCTGTGCAAGAGGAATCACAGCTCAGAGATATAAAGCCCTGAGTCTGTGTTAAGGCTTTCTGCTGGTTGAATATGTTGTATCGAGCTGCAGCAATCTAGCTGCCGCAACTTAGAATCTGGCTGTCAGAGCCGGTAAAGTTGACTGCAACTCTTGCTTCCCAATTCACCTCCGCAGCTGCGCTTGTCCTTCCGGACAATTACTCTGACCCGCCTGATTTTGGCAAGGGCAGTGAGTGCAAAGCAAGCCGTTCATCTGGTTGTGTCCAATTGTTAGCTTGGCGGATTGGAAAGCTTGGACGCAAATTCTGGGCTCAGATCTACGTGCTTCTGTCAATCTGCGTCAGCCCTCGTGCAGAGCCGCAATGGCCCTCCCTCTGTGGCATGTTCTGAGCATCTGCGCGTATGTGCAGGATCAAGCTGCCGTCTGGCGCCAAGAAGATTGTGCCCAGCGGCTGCCGTGGCATGGTGGGCCAGATTGCGGGCGGTGGGCGGACTGAGAAGCCGCTGCTCAAGGCCGGCAACGCGTACCACAAGTACAAGGTGAAGCGCAACTGCTGGCCCAAGGTGCGTGGTGTGGCCATGAACCCTGTGGAGCACCCGCACGGTGGAGGTAACCATCAGCACATTGGGCACGCATCCACGGTGCGGCGTGACGCGCCTCCAGGGCAGAAGGTCGGACTGATTGCTGCCAGGAGGACGGGCCGGCTCCGCGGGCAGTCAGTGATGAAGGAGAAGGGCATGAGGGATTCTTAGACGATCCGAGCACAATTGAGTCAGCAAACACGATGTGCAAAGCTGATGTCGCCTATGCCATCCATTGTATGTATATGTGTCCTGCTGTAGCATCCACTTATTACGCGACAAGTGCTTAAAGTGATTAAGCACATGTGTCAGAAGTCGCTGGCGAGAATGGGCTGGCATGGGTGCATCCCGGAAAGCATCAAAGCTTGTTTTGGTCGGCCCTACCTTTTTCACATTGTTTAGTGGTCGAAGATGATTTCTTCACTTGCGCTGTTGCATGAGGTGTGATTTGGTGTGTGGGTCAACATACTCAAATATGCTCTTTCTGAGGCGTATATAGCCTTCAGTGCTTCCAGCACCTGGGTTTTCAGAGACGAAGTGCCAACCCTCTTGGCCTCATACCCCATTCAACGCCGGGCAGTCATAGAAGTCGTCATTGCATGAGAGTTATTCAATGGGCGTTATATGCGAGGAAATCATCGAGTTTGAATCAAGCATGTTCAACTGAGTGCGCGTTTGCATCGTGTTGGTAATCTACTCTAGTAATGCCCCCCATGAGCGATGTTGAGCCACCGGGTAAAGTCTGCCGGTGAGACCGGGACGGTACAACGTTGACTTTGCAGCCCTGCTACGATGTAAGTCATGTCCAAAGTTGTGATACCTATAATTATACTGCGCCTCTATCACTGTGAGACTCATAGCTGTACGGGCGAGCATTGACTCAAATTGTACATATCACCTCGCAACTTGCAAGCTAGCTTAATGTAGTCCGACCCACTTAACTGCTAAGTTTCTGTCATGACGTTGCCATGCCAGCTATCAATCCCCTCCAGCGTATAGCCGTTTAAGATAGTACCGTCCATATGTTTTCAGCCATTGCCTTGAATGTTCAATCTTGCACGATTTCTCCCCTGCACCTCCACAGACCATGCCCAAATTCATCATAGCCATTCAGAGGATATTGCAAATGCGGAAGAGTTGCAACAAGTTTCAGATCTTATGCATGTCCCAAAACGCTCCTACCACATGCTTCTTGTCAATGCATCTAACAGTGGAGAGGGTGCATCTCCATGTATCAACATGAATGTGACACAATGAGCGAAGAACAGCCAATATATTAGTTCAGCTCTACATTTACAAAGCTCTTCCGAGCATGTCATTTCTCAACCCCACTTATATTCCGCAGATTAAGACTCTGGACCTAGACTGTGTCAACTTAGTGCACATGGGCCATGATCAACGCTCAAGCCTGCTATTGTACCAAAGCTAATTTGACACTTGCTGCTTCAAGCACCTTGCTTCGCCGCGTAGAGCTGGCGGGCAAAGCTACCTCTGTCGGAGTTAGCTTGTGGAAGTTGACGAGTCTCGCAACCTTGCGTGCAGGGGCTTGACAGCAGCAGTCAGCAGGAGCTAGAGTGTTGTCTACTTTCTAGTTTCTAATTAGCACACGTCCAAGATTAGAGATTAACCACCCGTTAGTAATGCGGGCAGTATGACACACCACGGACCTTTGGTGGTGCCGGAAGCAGTATACCAAGCAAGCGCGAGCGCGGGCTTCCAACCTAGACGTACTGCAGACTCCAAGGTTCCTCCCTCATCGCCTTTAATAGCTGGGAGCAGAACCATGGAACTGGTCCTATGTAAAACCAAACGGCAAGCACGTGTGAGTGCTTGCTCAATGCATACACTTATGTGCTTATTGGCAGCACGCCAGGACCAATATACTCTAGACCAGTCAGACACAATCTCCACGGACGCCCTAATTGACATGGGTCCCCTTTTGTACGCCCTACATATACACCCACCCAGGCTACCAACACAAGAAACACACAAAGCGCGGGCCTGCGGAACACCCGGGAACACCCCGCGTCCCTGATCAGAGGCCGGCTGCCGCGCACAAGAAATTGCTCCAGCTGGCAATCTTTTTGAGCCGCTCTCCCTGGCCGTCCTCCCCCACGCACGCGCCCAGCTCGTCCACGGGCACCAGCGGGGGCAGCGCCCACTGCAGCGCGGCCTCGCCGGCGGGGGCCCCCCAGTCCGGCTGCACGCTGGCCAGGAAGGCGGTGGCGGTCGGGTACAGCGAGGCCGCGGCCGCCTCCACCTCGAGGCGGTGCCGCGGGCTGGCCTCGTCGAGCCAGGCCGGCCAGCTGCTGGGGCCGGGGGACGAGAGGGGCGCGGGCAGGAGGCAGCTGGAGAGAGCGTCTGCACAAGAGGGGGCAGGGGCGCCGAGGGTGAGACACGAGCAGGCAGCGTACAGGGGCGACGTCACCACGAGAGTGAAAGTGGCAAACCCCGAAGTGGCGGGCCAGGCCGTGGCCCGTGTCTGTGGCTTCGTCCCCTCACCTGAGCAGCCCCCAGGCGTGTTGAAGCTGATCCCCCACTCGCACTCGCCCTCCGACTCCTCCATCTTGCTCCGCTTCAGCGACTGCCCGACCCCTGGACCCACCGTTTCGCTGCCACCATCCCAAAGCAGCTCCCCGTCGTGGACCGGCCCCCAGCGCCAAGCGTCAGCCAGAGCCATGTTTCCCGCGTCCCCTGCAAGAAAACTCTCTGCTCGACTCCTCTTCCTGGAGGGCGGCTGCGGCACCGGCGCGCTGTCTCGCCCGTCGTGCAGGAAGCCGTCCTCGTCTGCCTCCGAAGGGCTGATCAGGAACGCATCCACGTTGGGCGTGGCAGCGCGGACCACCGGGGGCTTTGGGGGGGGGCTCAGCGTGTTGGGCAGGCGCACCGAGAGGGGGGTCCAGCCCTGGTCCTGAGGGCCCCAGGCCTGAGGGGGGCCAGCCTGTCTCCAAGCTTGTGGCAGGGGGGGGGCATAGCGGTATGAGGGATACAGGCTGCTGCCAAGCGCACCTTCTGGCAAGGCCAGGGGCGGGGGCGAGGGACATGCCGGCTGGCCTGGCGGGGTGGCCCCTTCGTTGTCATCCTCCTCGAGGGGGGGGACCTCCGGGATGACCAGCGGGGGCAGCCAAAAGCCACGGCTGATGGCGGGCAGTCGAGGCGGGGGTGCCCAGGGGTGGCTGCTGCGCGGGGCGGGGGGGCGCTCGGGGTGAAGAGGCCACTCATGGCGCTGCTGCTGGAGGAGCGGCCAGGCGGGGCTGCAGGCATGCCACGGATTGGTAGACTGGAGCGGGGCAGGAAGGGGGCGGGGGGGGGCCACGAGGATGAGGAGGTTGGGCGGCCTGCCATGCGGGCCATCCAAGGGCGGGCAGCAGTGGGGGCCTGGCAAGGCAGGCTGCGCGGGAGGGCCTGGCCGCCTGAGGCTGGCCGCGCGGCAAGCTGCTTGGCCCGGATGATGCGCTTCTGGCGACCGTTCCAGAAGTTCTTGACCTTGTTGTCGGTGCGGCCAGGCAGCTCAGCAGCAATCTTGGCCTGGAGGCACACAGAACAGAGTGGGATGATGAGAAGAGGGGGAGAGCAAGCCAGCACAGGGCCACAGAGCATCGATGCTGGGAAGCCCCCACTGACAGTCCAATCCCTTGACATGTGGCAATACAGGGGTGCAGAAAAAGTTTACCTGCCTTTCCTAGGGATCACAGGAGAGGCTTGAAAGGTCAACATGGAGAAAGCGTCAAATCGTGCTTCTAAAACAGATCGTTTGTGACGTCATTGCGTCCCTTGTTGTAATTCGAAAAGGAAAATCAGATTCCACAAAGACGACAGACAAGGCAGATTGCAGGAGCATCTTAGGGGGAGGGATCCCTGAGAATGACAACATTGAAAGGGGTCCTGGTACGAAGCAAGCTCAAAGAGGCTTTAATTTATCCCTATCTAACATACCAGTAAGGAAGAGAAGGGGAAGGAAGTGGGAAATAGAATGGACTGAAGGAAAGCTGGCAGGAAGGAGGGGAGGTTGGGGATACAAACACGAAACTAGCAGAATTGGGGTCCAACACTCTGAGGCTAAGAGAATGCATGGCAAACAAAAGCGAAATCCAAGGAGGATGCCAGCTTTATCTTGGGGTGCCAAACCATTTGGGGGCATACAAGATGCGTAGTTGCACACAGGAGTTGTACTACTAGATATAAAGATAACACCTGCTCATGTTAAGCGGGTTTGTTCAGACTCAGATTGGGGCTTGTGCAGGGTGAGGAAAGCCCATACACCCAGCCTGCCTGTCAGCGTTTGGTGAGCAAGGGCGAGCAGCAATCTGCCGCAGGCAGCGGCCGTGCACTCACCCACTTGTTGCCATGGGTTGCGTGCAGCTCCAGGACACGGCGCTCCTCGTCACGCGACAGCGCCGTTTTCTTCAGGCCCCCCCGCAGGTGATTTACCCATCTGATGGGGACAAAAATGGACCTATCAATCCCCGCTGTTTCAAAAGCGAACAGATGATGCCAATGTGCAGCCTTGAAAGATTTGAGAATTATTCATTGTCAACAGCAAACCTTGCTTTCTCCCACCCCATAATCTCCTTAGCAAGCTATGGCCTTTTTGTGATGAGCAAGCATATACCAGCGAGAGAGCATTGACGAGAAAGCGCGATTGCACAGTGCATGGGCGATGCTCTGCTATCAAAAAGTGATGCCCAAAGCACCTATGAGCCCATACTCAGCTGGTAGCTTCTTTGTAACAGAGTGACGTGGTCTACCTGGAGATTACAGATCTTTGACTCTCACCGCAAGCGGCAGCTTTTCCCGCAGCGCTTGAAGCCCCTGATAACCCGCTGAATGTTGCCCCAGTTCTTGCTGCCGTGCTCCTGCAAAGAAGCCAGCGCGCCCAGCGACGCAGTCAGGAACATCCCTCTTCGACCCTGAACCAGAAGCAGCACTTGAAAGGCGGCAGGGCAGCCAGTTGGGACTGGCTGTGTATGTTGACAGAATGGAAGATCCGCAAGCGTGCCCAACAGAGTTGCTGTGAAGCAATGGCCCTCCCATCTGGCACAGCGTCCTCACCACTGCATCTTGCTTAGTCAGCTCATCAGTGTCATTCATGTCCGATGCTTGGAAAAGACAGTGCCTGGAGCCGCCTAGAGAATGTGGCCCAGAGGATGCAGCCAATCAAGCGTTTCACACATTTTGAGTGAAGTAGTATGGATGCTTTCACAGGTTTCCCCTTTGTTTCCCCTTGGACCTCTACCGAGCTTCAGCCCCAGTGCCTGCGCTGCCTCTCCCCTGCGGCATGCTGCATTGCCACTGGCGTGTGCGTGACTGCTCACCTGCACGTATTGCAGCAGCAGCGCGTCCTCCTCGGTCGACCAGGCGCCCTTCACCAGGCCCCCTGCGTCCGCCTGCTGAACCTCGGACGAGGCACTGCTGCACGACTCTGACGGCGTCACCACCGCCGCTCGATTGTGCCACTTAGGACCCCCCCGCTGCGGCCCTTGCGCAGGGATGGGGGTGCGCAGCAGAGGCTCACAACAGCTAAGAGAAGCAGCCGCGTCATTGTACCGGGACCGGGTGGGGCCACCAGCTGGTGGAGAGGTGAGAAGCCTGTGAGCAGCTGCGAGCTGGTACACGCGCTCTGCCTGACTGCCACTCAGCGGTGGAAACATGCTAGAGAGCCAGGGGCTGCCAGGGGGAGTCACTCAAGGGGGCCAAGCAGAGGCATAGGGTGCATGGTGCGGTCCACTGGCGGGGCATAGACCACCAGCATAGCCTGAAGTGACAATTATAGTCGGTATGCACATGCAGCAGTCACGTCGAGGCGCAATGCTAGAAAACAAGCCCAAACCAGGATTGGCGCGACAGTGAGAGTTTCTCGTGCTGGCAGAACTTCTGAACGGTGAGAATCATTAGAGGAAACGTTTTCATCTTTGTCCAACACCCCGAGTCCAGCCTCCGAATTGGACTCTGTCGGAGTCTGGAGGCTGGACTCTAAACTTTGAAGTCTCCGAGTCCAATGGATAATGATGCCAGGGGCAACTTCCTTTTTTTTTTTTTGGAAGATACCGTCTTGCACGTGCGGCTCATCAGCTGGAACTCACAGACTAGCGTGCCAGGGGCAACTTCCGTACACCGTTTTCATCATCATTTCAGGCGACCGGCCTGGGGCCCGCGGGGCGTGTGACCGCCCCAGGTAATGGGATACCTAGGTC